AAAATATATTGACCTTGCGGCTAGAATGGATCGATGTTTCAGTTACTGTATCAATATTTTTCAAAACAAAACTCTTCTCGACCCACCCACTCATAAACGAAACTTTTTTCTTTTCGTTTTGTGTAACGCATGCTAGCGATCATCAGACAGCAGCATTCGATACTGGATTCGAATCACAGGTTTGTAATTCCAAGCGGCTAGTTCCGTCTTTGACAAACATGGTGTGCAGTAACACAATCCACACGGCCGAAATTTAAACGCTGATGAAATTGTTCCCATCAGCTTTGGTGATGTAGGTACTAGTGTCAACCCTGTGCCGAAAATGAATCGCTGCCAAAATTTCGAAAATCGAGAAATACTTGAAAGGCCGGCGAGGTGACAACAGTTTTAACCCTTTCAGTGCCAGGCCAGATGCACGCGGTTGGCCGGGCAATTTCATGAAAAATCTGATTTTTTTTTTCAAATTAGTCGTATCAACTCAAACCGACTTGTTGTCCTGCGCTGGAGTAGCTTGTGCTGCTGCGCCCTGCTCAAGCTCGACATCGACATCTCCGATATCCTCAGGGCCGTCCAAGGCGACCACGGCAGTAGGTACGACATCGACTACGGCGGACTCGTCCGCGAAATTTGTTCCGCCACGATCGCAGACGGCTATGTCCGCATCCGAGTAATCGCCTTCACTATCGCAGCTCCAGTCATCACTGTCCGAGTCCATGATGGACTGGAGCACCTCTTCAGCCCACATGCGGCGAGTCGCCGTGTCTGAGTGACCGCTAGAGAGACCTAAAGTAAGTTCCGTCAATCAAATTGTTTCTGAATCGAAATAGGTTATTCGCGCGCGCGCGCGTGCGCACTCTGAATGTATGCTCCCACGCCCATACTTACTCAAACACGGCGATGTGAGGTCTTATTCAGCAGGGGAAAACTCCTAGTTTCCCCTCGAAGAGCCACAATCGGCCAAGCTAGATCGTAGCACATGGCCGGTGAGATATAGTAGTGCGCACTACGAGGACGAGATATCTCGTCCTTGGCCAATCGCGTGGGGGTCTGTAGGACGAGATATCTCGTCCTTGGCACTGAAAGGGTTAAAAGGATTGCAAAAAACAGAACCAGCTGAAGCGTGATTTCACGAAGGTTTTATTGAGATGTCACATATTCTAGTCTCAATAAAACCGTCGTGAAATGATGCTTCAGCTGGTTCTGTTTATTGCAATCCTTAAACTATCGTGAAATACCCAAACAATTTCCAGCGCTGAAATTTTGTATGTTTACAGCATTCAATCGCATCAAAATACAGCCATCAAAAATCTCTTACCTGCCATACTTCTCATCAAAATACAGCCATCAAAATCGCTTACCTGCCATACTTCTCTCTTCAGATCAAGACCTACGGCACCGTGCTGTCGGGACGCTTCTAGCGCAGCCATGATCGAATTGGAAGCAGAGCCTTGTGATGTATGGCTAGAAGCTAAGTACACACACACAAAGAATACATATGTACTTGTACTCCTCCAACGGATTTGGATTTGGATTATGTACTTGTACTTATAAGTTATAAATTCATCCGATGAGCAGTTTTTTTTCCAACACGAAACTCGGAGTCAAGATAACGTTATTAGTGTCTGTTGTTCTGCCTTGCGTGCAGTGCACTGATACTTTCTCCCCCCCCCCCCCCCCCACACACACACACACGCGCTTGCACACACACACACACACATATGCACGCTCACACACATACACACACGCACACGACTACTACTACTATAGCATGACTGCCTATTGGGCAATGTCACCCCCGGAGGGGGCCAGAGTTTGGAGGGCACCGCCATTGGCAGGCCCCGCGCGCACACACACACACACACACACACACACACACACACACACACTCACAAGCAATCCATCCACACGCACTCGCCTCTCCACACGCACTCGCCTCTCCACACGCACTCGCCTCTCCACATCTCATCTCTTACCAGCTGCAAAGGAAGGCATGACGTAAAACCCTGTGGGTGATCGGCTGTAGTCAAGGCGTGCTATGTCCGGTATTGACTGAAGCAAATCACGCATACCATGAAAGCCAAGGTTCTTAGGAAAGAGACGTGACTTCATCTGTCCTGTATAAAGGTCTCCGAAGTCTTCATGGAAAATTCCGCCCGGGTGATTCGCCAGCAGTTGGGCTATGTTGTGCTTTGTTGCATGTGGTAGAACGTTCTTGGTCTCGGCCTTCACAGCAGTCCTGTTTGAAGATGGCTCGAGTCCAAAGTCACAGTCCGCACTCCTTGTCCTCTGGTGTGGAGGTGAGAAATGCCTGCTAGAGATTGAATTCGAATTGTATCCCCATGACAAACGCGACTTAGGCTTCTTCGTCTTCTGCTTAGAGACCATATCAGCAATGTGCTGTGTTGAATCATCCGCAACAGCGCGGTAAATAGTTTGGCCATGGTCAATACAGCGACGAACTATATGTGGCTTGCTATGTAAGTAGGCCTCCACTGTCGTAAATCCAAACTTCCTGAATGGGAAGGACGTGCCTACAAAATTCTGAAAATCTCTCGCGACTTCTTTGCCCGTCAGACCATGCGGAGCAGACAAGAGAATTGCCCTGAGCTCTTTCAGAACCTCCTCCTCGTCCATCACCCCGGCTTACGGGGAGCAGCGACTAACAGCAGAAAGAATAATGGCAGAGCAGAGACTATGAAAGAAAAAGTTAAACTGTCCAGACTGGAGAACTATCTGCTTGAAAGTTCAGAAACAAGACTGTGAAAAGGAATGATTGAAAGCGGCACGAGTGTATAACAAGACTCGACTCTCCAGAAAACCTGAACTACATATACATTACAGGGAGAACTCTCCGCTGAGAAGTAACAAGACGACCTTCAGTTCAGAATAGTGATTCACTGAAAAGAATGTTCGAATGTTTTCAGCTTTTCGATCAATGAAACTGGTTCAACTTCTACGTTTCACAGCCAAATCCATGCACAACAAAAAAATATGCGTACCGTACAGCGTATACGCCGTACCGTGCCGTTCACTTGCACTATTTTTTAGTTCAGCTTGGCAACGTCACAATCACCATGATCACGATTTTTTCATTTTATCATAATCAGCGTGAAGAAATTTTCGAAGTGGATTTGAATAATTTACTATTGCAATTTTGGTTTGTTATTTTTTGCAGTGATCGCCGTTCTCTGATCGATCGTGCATTCAGAAGCTGATTCGGTCTAAAAGAGGGTGATAATGGCAACGAAAAGAAAGAGAGTTGCTTTTGCTATTCCAGAAGAAGAAGAATCAGCTGAGCCCGAAGATCGTTCAGGGAAACGATTGAAAACTTTCAAGGACAAGCATTCATTGGACAGTGACGAGGAAGACAAAGCGGACGATACCGGTGAGCTAGGTGACGAGGACCTGGCATATCACGAACAGTCTACCATACAATGGGATGAAGATCAGAAGATCACGCCTTTTAACTTAGATGAGGAGATGGAGGAAGGTCGATTCGACGCCCATGGTAACTACTATACTAAAGATGACGCAGATGTAGCAGATAGTTGGTTGGAATCTGTAAACTGGGAGAAGGTACGTGCAGAGGAAGACTCAGATGACGAGCAACCGAAAGCTGAGGATAAGGACGGAGATGACAGCGATGGCGAGGGAGAAGCAGAGGAGGAGCGAGTCACCTCAGGTGATGGCGTGTATGATAGCTTAAAGAAACTGTGTGAGTTGGTGAAGCCAGGTGAGACGGTGGCCACAGCGTTACGCCGACTAGGCACAACGCCAGCACGTCCGAAGTTCAGAAAAGGCAAGCCTCAAGCACCGTCGTCCAGTGATGGGCTGTCTAGCGAGGAGAAAGCTGCCAAGCGTGCCACGCTGTCCACCCTTACTGAAATAGCCGATGGCCTGGTGCAGCTTGGGCGCATGTCGGTGTATGAGGAAACTTATGAAAAGTTTATGTTTGAAATCCGGGATCATGAGAACAAAGCCATGGACATGGTCGTGTCGGCTCCGGCACCAGGACCAGAGAAAGCCAGCTCTGCGGTAGCTAGTGGCAGTGACTCTGCCTCGGCAGCACCATCAGCATCGTCCGGTCTGCCGTCGGAAATTCTAACCGGCGAAAATGCACCGTCTGGCTGCAAGGAAGTTTGCTGGCATGTCAAGTCTGCATCGAGCGGTGACAGTGACAGCACTTACGGCCCGTTCAGTAGTACGCAAATGAATGACTGGGCAGAGAACGGCACATTCGGAAGTCAAGGTGTTCTTGTGCGCAAGGCTAAGGACACGACTGGAGAGTTCTACTCATCGAAACGCATCGACTTTGACCTGTACACAGATTGATCCTGTGTGAGCTGGAGCAGTACTGCTACTGCAGCCTTGAACTTCACCGTGTTGGGCTGGTACAGTAAGTTCTAGTGATGCTGAAGTGGATGTGGCTGTTGCTTGCACACAGTCATTATGCCTGGCCTGCTAGCCGTACATAATGTACGCACTGCACCGGTCAATACGCACGCGCAAGTACTGCTAGTAGAGTGGAATGCGGTTACCATGGCGCTGCAGTTTTGTTGCCATGGCAGCACAGCTTATGTTGCCATGGCATCGCCATCGTACTAGCACACACAGTATAATGGTTGCACTGGTTACTTACTATGTACGGGTATCGGGTACCGGTGCTTGAGGGAATGTACTGGGTAGTACAGTATCTTGTCGGCACACTCATCACGTGACGTTGTAGCTGCGACGGAGAAACTAGAAGTTTGGAGCTTGCCATTGCCAAGCTCTGGCTTGTAATCAATCAAAATGATGTATGCACTGCCTAAATGGCTGCTACTTGTGTTTTCTTTTAAAACACGATCAATGCTGACCGTTCCTTTTACAGTTAGTCCTCCGCCGCCATCGCAACTGTGGCAGTCATTTTAGTTGAGATATATGTGTGTGTGTGCGTGCGTGTGTGTTTGTTTCTCTTTTTTTATCACATCGACAGCTTATGATTGGAATTTCGTTACGCTTTGAAAACTTAGATCTCAACATATACCATTATGGCAGTTTCTGGGTCATTCTTTTTGCCCTTATTAGGTCAACAGATCAAAATTTCAAGATTTCACGTGGTCACAATTCACGCATGCGCGCATGTCATGAAACACATTTTTTAGATTTAAAAAAATATATAATAATTAATACTTTCCAGGACCGGTCGACCCTGTATGTAGTCTTCACAAACCAATGTGCAGTGCTGGGAGTCGTAAAATACCGGTATTTTACGACTCCCTGATGCAGTGTGTACGTGTGTTCAGGGTTGTTGGATTGATCGGCTAAATCAAGCAGCTGTTTACTTCTATCGGCGACTATTCGTCCCCTCTGACTGTGCACTATGGTGCCTCGCATGCCGTCCGACGTTATGGGATTACGGAATTGATCTTGCGTTGCCATGGTTACAGAATCGTGCAATTGAGCTGGCATTATGGGATCATTGAAATTGATAAAGGGCTCAAAGATGATGATGATGAAGCGGGGTGAATTCTTTGAGAGGATAAAATTAATAAGCCAGAAAACTGAAAATAAACTAGGGTCAACAGGTCAACATAATGCAGTAGTTTTAAACAACCAACAAAAATTCCGTATACGAAGTCTCTCATATCTCTGCCGGCTCAAAATTCATCATCTTCCTCGTCGTCTCCATAATCGTGCTCATCTCCTTCTTCATCTCGCCGTTCTTGCTCCCCTGTCACCAAAGACAAACAACACAAAAAAACAATACCAAGTTTAGGGGTTATCCGGCATTATCGATAATTTTCACGGAACGACAAAGTATTCATTGGTTTGAGGGAAAGGATGCAACGGGAAAGTCTGAAGAAAAACTGTTACTTGACCGACACCACCAAGACTCAAAAGAAAACGTTCCATCACTCTGTGAGCTAGTAGCTGAGCTTATTGTAACCAACATGGTACCAGTGCCCTCTACATGAAGTGAGTATGGTAAGCTTTTGGCCCACTTGCTAATGGGCCTGGCCTCCCATCCTCACGTACACACAACCACATACACACATGTAGCTAGTGAAATCTGATGGGATGACCGGGGCCGACGCCCTTACTGTTTTTAGCGTGTACATTTTTTTTACTAGAGCCACGTAAACCCGTCATGTGTGATATGCACTGCAGTTCACCGTAACGTACACACTGTAAACATGGACCGACAGTACTCGCGGCTGCAAGGCCAGCGTCCTGTAGCTGCTTGACTTCTCAACGGATTTCAATGTGTACAACAGTAGATAAGGTTCAACAACAATTAACTGTTTACCTAGAGAGCTAATGACATCACCATCTTCTTCCTCCACATCCATGGCAGTCACATCCAGCGAAAACTGGAGATGGTCACAAGTGAATCAAAACAAACACACAACAATGACGGCGTTACTCGGTTGCGGTTTGGCCGCTTGCATTAACTGACCAAGTAACGGCATTGACTTGGAAACAATTCAGTGCCATACCAAGTGTTATGTCCCCTTGCGGACTAACATACATGCACGCTCTCTTGCATCCTGACATGAACTCACAATCTCTAAGACTCATTACTTCTTGCCCGTCTGGTAAGACAATGTTGTAGTACGTTATCAATTTTTGTGTACGTCGTGTGTATGTGGTGTTGATGCATGCGCGTGTTGCTGTGGTGTGAAAGCAGTCTTCGTCTTGAGTTCGTCAAGTCTAGTTGTGTTTCCGTAGTCGTCTTTCAATAAACAGTCTTTCCAAGGGTTTATCGGGTGTTAGCGGCCGTCGTGAGTTCCCTTCAGGAACGGACACGATAATTTACTTTTACTTTTTTTTATCGTCGTCCATTGTATAAGTGTGGAGATGACACGGGGCTGGGAGCAGTTAAAGAAAAGAAAGTTACAATAATTATGTCAACAACAACAACAACAACAACAACAACAACAACAATCCAATCCGAGAATGCGTACTACATAATTATGATGCAGTCGTAGAAAAAGAACAACTTCCATACACAGCACCACCGCGGCAAGAGTACATACTACTCATTATGTCACATGATTTGAAACCTTTCTCTTTGGCGTGTTAACACACTGAGGACAACACTACTTCACACAGTCACCATGGTTACATACACTACAGTCCATTCATCCCAAACAAACACCTGGACTTTGTTGGGTCTTGCACGCCGGTGGAGTTGTAGATGTCACGGACTTGAAAAGCGGCCGTACATCCTGCATTGTGTGGCCCGTGATATCCTTCCTTGCCTCAATACTAGAAGCTCCGGAGAAGTCCAAGGAGAAGGACTTTGAAATGAAATTCAGAAAGGTACACCATGGCAAAATGTATGGAGGAGCAGGTCCAAATCCATAATTTCTTTGGTTTAAACTTTTTTTAAACTGAGTAGTTTTTGAGCCTCAATCCGGCCACAATCAGCCAGCGGGACGATTCTATATGAATGTACTGAAGGCTACACAAAGACAAAGTGGTACTGGTTATTCATGATGGCACCTGTAGCTATATACTCTCATGCATATTGTAATAGCGTACCTGTGAACAGGAGTCCTGATCACCAGTCGGCTCTGTATAGGCATCAGCCACAAGTTCTGACTCATCGATATCCGACACTTCCAACGAGGAAGCTGAAGACATGAAGTCCATCGGCTGACTTGCAGCATCCACTATTTCAGATACTTCTTCCGCTGCAACCGCGTTGGGTGCTGGCTGCTCAGACAAACCAAGATCACCATTCTTGCCGCTGCCAGATCTTTGCTGCTGCTTGCTGTATCTGACGAGAGCAGTGTGTTCGATGGCGTTGCCCGCCTTGTAGGGCTTCAGCCATGACACTTGCACATCAATTTTGCCAGCTGCCTTTCCTTTTTGCTGTGAACAGTATAGAAAGCAGTCAGAAGGGCGTTGAAATGGAAAAGACACGGGATATATAAATCAGACACACATACAAAGTAATTTGAGGGGAACTTAAGTAATCATGTCGTCACACCTGTTTATCCGACGCTCATTCATTCCATACCCTGGCAAACTGAAGCATGCACTCCAAAGGTATGGTATGTGCAAATACACCTTCCATTTACTG